TAGAATCATTGGTATTGTAATGTCATTCAATACCAATGATTCTCTGTCAGATTCTTTCCAAGCACTGTATCACTTGTCACGCACCCACTAGTGTCACTAGTGGGTATGTGAAGTTAAATGTTACTGCCAAAGAAATACAACCCAGCTTTCATTTGTATGACTGACATGGGGAGTCTGTGTAAACATGTGTGTGTGTGTGTGTTCTATTTTATACGTTTGCATGGATGCATATTTTAGGAATGAAATATTCCTGTGCGGAATGAGAAAATCCGAGAATTTGTGGTTCGCGACCCTTTACCTCAGAAATGCTCTCCCCACTTTGGACTGCAGGTGTGTCGTAAGAGTAATACTCAAATAGCATTATTTTGTTGGACAGTATTATCCCAACTGTTCGCAGCGGGTTCGGTTGACTAGCTGATGAACACACACAGATTATAGACATATAATATTTAAAAATTAGAACTGTCAAATAACTTTTTAGTAGTCTAAATTATTATTTTTATTTAAGGATATAAATCCATCGAAAAATCATTTCATAACGAAAAATAAAATTTGAAAACTTTTATCTTTGATACACACACATATACACAAGGAATGTAAATGTCACACACAAACATTATGAACGACTTGTGACCAGCTTTGAACAGTATCAGCTTGTGTCATTCCGATCTGGTCAGTGTCAGAAATCGTTACCTGACATTTTAAATAATACCTTCAGATGGTGTTTTCCAAGTCCACTTATCGATATTTTAGCAATTATTTAAATAATAAAACGTATATATATAAATTAAGTTTATAGATAATTTATAAACTACCCTACAAATATAAATATTTCGTCTTGGTTTCACTTAATTGGCCTTGAAAAATCTTATCGTATTACGCTTCTATAATACTTATAGAAAATAGTGTTGTAAACTATATTTATAAAGCAGTAATATGCTATAGGGGGCCTAATACGAGAAGGAAATACAAAACTGAAAATTTTATTTGAATACACAATTAACAACTGGGGGAAACGCTGTTGAAAATAAATGAAAAAAAGAAATTCTAAATGTCAAAATAAGTATGATTTAAGAAGACCTAAAGTTTTTGAAAACAACAAAATTTAGGAATCGGAGTTTAATCAAAACGATATATCTTTTCCCGAACCCTAAATCGAGTGCATCTTTCATCAAAAATAGAATAGGCAAAAAAGAAGAAAATAGTTTAAGAAATAAACACAATACTTTAATATTTTACAAATTTTGGTTAAAAAAATTATTGAAAATTCTTAACAATGTTTATTAACCTCTGCAGATTTGTAAATGGGCAAAATGTTCATAAAATTCTTACGGCTTAAAAAATAAGAATTTTGAAAATATTGAAGAAAACTAAAACCAATGATACAGATATATTTTTTTCATATATTGTTTTTCTTGTGTGTTACCTACAGTAGTAGTAGGTGTGTGGGTCTGAAAAAAATGCACAGCTGAAAAAAATTAGTGCCTTATCTGTTAAAATAAACTTTCAATAACAAACACATTCAAACAAAATAATATGCAATGCCTTAAAACGTAATTCAACATGTTTTCCGTTTGTTTTTTTCTGAGTCAGAACAGCCGAGGATCTATTAGAGCTGTTTCACAAGAAATTGAGTTTTGAGAGGGGGAAAAAAAAAGACTGGAAAAACATTCTTAAACATACACTTTTCTCTCGTGATTACTTTAAATCGGTGCATGAGAATTTATAATGCGTCATTTCTCTGCCAATGGACAAATGTTACTACTGTCTTCTGGTTGGATAATACAGTATTAAACTTAAAATCATTTATATCATAGCAATGGAAACTATAAATCAACAACAAAGGACAAACATGAAAAAATAAGATTTATTCTTGAATCGTTGTTACCCGGTACGGGTAATAACTACGGTCACCTCCTGTTACCATGGTTCTCTAGAATTTTATTTAATAGGATGTCTGTATGGGCATTTATCTATCAAAATTGTTTGGTTTTTATAACTAACAACTTTTAACTATAAATAAGGAAGTTTCGTTATCTTTTAAAAAAAAAGGTTAGTGAAAACAGTTGTTATTAAATCAGATAAATGATCATGTTTGTTTGGAAACAAATCCAAGGGGGAAACGAACCCCAAATTATAGCGTTGTAAATCCACAAACGTACAGCTGTTCCACCTGGATACTGTATAAATGAAGTTGTATAATTATCAAGGATAAAATGGGATGTTTTAAGCAAAGTTGATAACATCCCGAGTGATTCAACTAAATTTCTGAAGCCTGATCAAGATCTTACTGACATTATAGAAATAAGTGCAGTTTATCGGCTCTCACACTTTTCTTAAATAACCTCCCTCTTTTTCTTGTCTAAAGTAATTAACACCACTCCCTTACACACACACACTATATCGATAAAGAAAAATCCAATATGCTACTATCAGTAAATTTAAAAAACTGTAGCGCACCACGTGTTCAGACAGACATCACAAAGTTCACGTAGTAAACTAGATAGTAGTAAAGATGTATGTGGGATTTTTTTTGCGAACCCTCTCAGAGTTCCCCAGAATACACACCATGCCCCCTGGGGAGGTACACATCTCCTCAGTTCGAAAATCACTGCATGACTGTGATGGTAACTATAAGTGTGAAGTTTACCGTCAGGTAACATTTATTGGCCTTGATTATAATTTCTCAAGTTACTCACGAACTGTGTTTAAATAAAACCTTGAGAAGATCCGAGTCTGCCGGGCATATCAACTCTCAAGAATATATGCACAAAGAACTTTGCAACATCAGAAATTTTATATACAAAATGACTTTCTTATTCATCTGATTGATCAAATAACTTGTGATTATTTGAACAAACTAAACTCCAGTAAACTTTGGATGCATGAAACTCACAAATATCCAGTTTAAATAGTCTTGGCATATATTAGAAAAGCATTCTTTTTTTACATTAAAAATTACACATCCTACTTCTTATTGTGTATCCGCATGTGCATTTACGATACACTTTTCAACATGGTTATTGTCGGATGCTAGATTAAAAATTTGCAAATTTAAGAATGCCAAATAAATTGTACTGAAACAGCCCCCTAGGTGAGTACAAATTAGTCGTCTTTTCAAATTATATTAATATCTTAGCTGGAGCCAATGATGAACAAGCTTGTGTATAAAAAGAGTTTACTCATTCACAATGTGAGGCAAAAACTCAGGTTAATTCAGCTTGTAAAATGTTGCTTATAACTTAAGAATGTTTTGGGACAACATGAGGCCTATTTGTCCATCTGGGCTGTCCCATCCTCTAAACTATTATAAATAAATTGAAAAAAATCTTAAAAACCAGCCCTTATCAAGCTTTCTCTTAAACTCACTTAAATTTACTGTCTCCATAACATCCTAAAGCGACCCATTCCAAAGGTCAACCACCCTGTTAGAAAAATAGAACTATCTTAGCTGAAGATGATTCCTACCCTGTCAAAATTTATATTTTTGTCCCCTAGGTTTAAGATTAAAATTTAAGAATTTCGCGCAAAGCTACACGAGGGCTATCTGTGTTATCATCCCTAATTTAACAGTGTAAGACTAGAGGGAAGGCAGCTATTTTCACAGTTACATATGAAAAAAGATGATGTATCAACACTATCAATTCCCTTTACAATCTTAAACACCTCAATCAGATTTCCCCCAACTCTTCTTTCTTCAAGAGAAATCAATTTGAGAGATTTCAACCTGTCCTTGTATGACAACCCCTCCATCTAAGATTTTCCCTTAAGCCTAGGTTTGTGCACGTGTTTGTATCTGTATAAAACTGTATAAACAATTGTTTATTTTGTATGTATCTATCCAAGGCCGATTGATTTATATGTGGTCAGTTCAAATATGGTACTAGGAATCATTGTACATGTAGGAATAGATTATATACAAGTCATATAACATTATTAAATAGTGACAACTTTCTTACCATATGTAGGTATTAACAAGAATAACCTCAGATACACAAAGTTCAGTTGATCACAAGGTTTTTACTGTACTTCAAAACATCACTATTCTGACAGTGACCCTAGGTAAACTACAATAGACAAAGTAAGTAAATTAAAACGTAATTCACCGGCGTACAACTAAAGTACGAAACACGATCAAAAGTTATCTTGATCATAGAAACTAAATATGTGTTGCTTGTTTATTGTTTAGAACATTGATTTACTACTTTGTAAGGTCTAATTTGTTTTCCAAACATGATATTGTGAAGAAATACAATGATTTTTATGGGATCTGATTTTAATTCTGAACATACCACTATTTTAGTTTCAATGAATTGAAAGTAACACTACATTTACGATCACATGTTCTGATACAAATAGTTTTTAACCAAACTGAATTAAAACAGTAATACAGCACCCCCCTATCTTTTTTAATACTTTTGGTTTAGTCTACAATACACTTACATCTAAATACGATTGTCCTTTGAAGTTTTTTGTTTTGATAAAATTTGGTTGTCCAGTGAATATTTCTAAATGTCTATGGCAAGTAATTTTTCAGTCTTAAAAACACCTGCAAAATATAAATTGAAAGTTAATTAAAAATACAATTTGAACCTACTGTCTTTCCAAGCACATAGTATTCAGATCATGTTAACTTTTTTGCCTTCTTTCACTTGTATACAATATTCTTCTTTCCATATAAAAATTAAAATACTTTATAGTAAGATACAGGTGATCTTGTAATCATAAGACATTATACAAGAAACACCGATGTAAAATACAAGAAACTGTCTTTCTGGCTGTATCAGAGCCACGATATTCTTTCAAAACATTTTATTTCGTCTCAATACGCACACAGCGGCTAACAGGTTTTATTTCAATTGTACAAATCTAAAAATGCACGGTCTTGTCTTCGTGTCAACCTTTCCCATTCATCATATACAACATGTTAACTGAAAAAAAAACTGCCAAATGTTAAACACCGAAATGTTTACATAACATGTTGACACTTTCACTAGATGTTTAAAAATGGTTACAAAGCATCACTATCACCGATGTTTTAATCTTGAAACTGAAAGTTAAACGACTGGGTGAACAAGTGTACAAATTAAACAACGAAAACCTTATAGGGCACTAAAAGTACAAAGTCATAATTGTAGTGTTTCTACTGTTACTGAAATGGAAATACACGTAGTACAATAGGCGAGTTGATGACCAGTACATGGCTATAGCCTATTCAGATCATGTGTGACTATTAAAAATCTTTAAAACTTTTAAATTGTTGTGTACTTAATATAAAAACTCTCTCTGCTCAAGATCTTTAGCCTCCTTTTCATAAAACAAAAATAATTTCCATACAAAACTGTTGTAAAGAATGGTAAGAGATGCAAACTTTGTCATCGGAGATGTGGATATAACTTCTACAATATCCAACGTAGTTTTTATCTGTTTTGTTTATGACTAAGCTATCTGCTGCCTTCCCTAACTTTGAACTGCCAACCAAATGGAAGGAAATTGTCCGGCAACACGCACACTACCAACTCTTGTGCTACTCTTTTACTAGTGAATAGTGGAATTGTCCATCATTTATAACATCCAGGCCATATAGGTGTACTATAACAATGAAAAATATTAAAAGTAATTATGAACCAGTTAGAGATGCTTAATCAATCATTGTATTTATAGAGTTGTTATTATAATATACAATGTAATTCAATTTAAAAAAAACATTACACAATACTGTTGGAGGTACAAAACCTTAATTCTTCTTTAAATTTGTATTAGACAGATTTTTTTTATAACAAAATGTGATATTCAAAGTAACAGGAGCTAATCCTGAAAAAGAAAAAAAAGAAAGACTACCGTGTGTCCCGTTTCTTTGACAAAACTTTTATTAACTTTCAGTTCAGATGTAGCTAATAATTCCTTAACAACTAGCACTTAAAACACAAATGAATTCACATGGAATTATCTTATGACTGAGAAATTTACAAGTTATCTCCACATTTCATTGAATTTCTTTCTTCGTTCAATGGCCCAGAAGCAGATTCAGCTTTGGTGAAAATGTAAATCGGCCGACAAAATCCTATAAGTAAAGGAAATTATTATGTTTTGATACAGCCAGATAGAAACGAACAAGTGCATCTCAATCTTCAAGTGTTTGGAGGGCATCCTGAAAATTCATAATTACTGCACATTTTAATAAATATACGACGTTCACAGGTTAATACGGCTTTGTTTACATCGTCATAACTAACAATTAATGAGAATATATTTTTGTTATCAGAGTTAGTAACCTACATGATTATTTAAATCTAATTATTAATTAATAACTATTTTTTTCCTTATTTAAATATACACTAATTACTAACTCATTCTATATTCTGGCTACAAATCTGCTGCCAACAAAGGCAGGACTACGGGAAAGGGGCACAAGGGAGAGCATTTTGTCACCCTCCACCATTTAGCAATGGGATACAATACAAAAAAATGGACACTCACAAAATATGGAACCATAACAGTTCTTAATGCTCTTCTGGTCGTTACAGTACCAAATATGGAAGCATGACTTTGTTCTTAATTTTCTACTGGTCGTTACAGTACCAAATATGGAAACATGACTGTTCTTAATGCTCTACTAGTCATTACAGTACCAAATATGGAAGCATGACTTTGTTCTTTATGCTCTACTAGTCATTACAGTACCAAATATGGAAGCATGACCTTTTTTTCTTTTGATGGGTGGGCTGGCATGTCTCTTAACTAACAGGTATAAATCTTACCTTTGATGGGTAGACTGGCATGTCTACTTACTAACAAGTATAAATCTTAGCTTTTGATGGGTGGGCTGGCATGTCTACTAACCAACAGGTATAAATCTTACCTTTTGATGGGTGGGCTGGCATGTCTACTTAACCAACAGGTATAAATCTTACCTTTTGATGGGTGGGCTGGCATGTCTACTAAGTAACAGGTATAAATCTTACCTTTTGATGGGTTGGCTGGCATGTCTACTTACCAACAGGTATAAATCTTACCTTTTGATGGGTGGACTGGCATGTCTACTAACTAACAGGTATAAATCTTACCTTTTGATGGGTGGGCTGGCATGTCTACTAACATGCAGGTTGAAAATCCAACTTCTTTTGATAACAGATACTCATTGAACTGCTCTGGACGAAATTTTATATTTTGATAATTTTTAAAAATGGTCTCCTGAAGGAAAAAGAAAATGGTACAATCAAATGATAGTCTAAAGTACACACACACATACATACATACAATGGTATGGTACCTTTGTGTATTGATGTTATACACACACACACACATACAATGGTATGGTACCCTTGTGTATTGTGCATTGATATTATACACACATACATACAATGGTATGGTACCCTTGTGGATTGATATTATACACATACAATGGTATGGTACCCTTGTGGATTGATATTATACACATACAATGGTATGGTACCCTCGTGCATTGATATTATACACACACACACACACACACATACATACATACAATGGTATGGTACCCTCGTGCATTGATATTATACACACACATACATACATACATACAATGGTATGGTACCTTTGTGTATTGATGTTATACACACACACACACATACAATGGTATGGTACCCTCGTGCATTGATATTATACACACACATACATACATACATACAATGGTATGGTACCCTTGTGCATTGATATTATACACACACACACACATACAATCGTATGGTACCCTTGT